AAGACTGCTAGATTGGTAGAGTCAGCAGTCGAGTGGGGGTTACATACGGTTTCATACGGCTGAGTTGAATTTAATTGGCCATCCCTAGCGTGACCCGAATTAAGGTCAGAACAAGCATCGACCGTTTATGTAAACATAACAATTAGCTAACAGAAGTTACTGCGGCAGAATTTATGTCTTTTGTTTTCTGAGCCGAATTAATGTAAAAATATAGATATACGTGGGAATATGACCTATTGTCTATTGCGAGACATTTTTATTTATTGAAGGAAACAGCTTTCCTGGATTCACATGAGAAATCCCTGAACAATCATAGGACCAGAACAAATTCTACGCAGAAATCTAAGTCCAGAGACGATTGTTAAGTCAGAGTTCGACGGACAAGAGTCCAAGACGAAAAAGCTAGACAAGGATCGACAGAGCAGGGACGAACGGAAGTCTTGATGTCTGCATAAAATAGGTGATGAAGTCTCTCATCGTTGCACTCAAAGGTCACATCTCATTGGCAATGAGGATAGTATATTAACGTGGAAAGTAATTTTACATTTAAAGAATGTGTATTGTCTTTTTATTTGAGTACATGGTAGTACCATTTTTCCTTCTTTTGTAACTAAGTCATTGATTTCTTTTCATTTTAAATTCTGTTGATAAACTGATTAAATTTTATATTTGTTCATTGAAAGGGGGCTTGTTTTGTTATTTCTTCAATATACTCATCTGCATTCTTCTTTCTATCTATCCACATTGGGTTAATCACACCGCGGAGGTCATTCCCTAGCAACGAACCGTAGTGAAAGAGGTTTGTGTGTTTTGCACGCCGTCAATCTGTCACAATGCTCAACAATAAACTAATTAATCGGGTATCAATTAGTGAATTATTTTGGGGAAATCTATCAGCCTGTGTCAATGTTTTGGTCTCTGCCATTATATATCATCAGGCGACATTATTGTTGCTGAAGATAGTAAATTATCTTGGGTGGGTTCTTAGAAACTTCGGACACTTCTAGTGTTGCACATTTCTTTGAAATTTTCCAGTTGATTGAAAAGATGGTGTCTTTTTTGAAATACCACAAACACATGATGCAGCGTGCTGTTACCTTCTTGGGTACTTATTTGCTACGAGAATTCTCCTCGGATGCTGCTTTGCATTGAATCTGTTGCATTGGTGTGAAGTGTTATCGTATACGTTCCGCAATACTTTAAATGATGTGTGGCCACTAATTGACGGAGTGCATCCAAACCTCCTGACAAAAAGACATCACCAGTACGTGCACACCACCATCCTCCTCGTTGTCCCAAGGCACAATCTTCTTCCGAAAATGCAAAAGAAAAGGGTACTCTCCTCGTTTAGCTAAACATAATGATGTTTTGTTAATATTAACACAATCCTCAAAAACAGATTATTTGACAGTCATCCAAAGAAATCATGGACACCGTAATTGAATTTTGTTTGAATATTTAGAAAGGAGAGGTGCAAGATACAAAAACAACGATTATGAAAACAATGAGTAGTTCTTCACCAAATGATAAAATAAAACAGCCTAAAAGTCAAAAGAAAACAAATAGTCCTTTACAAGAATTATTTGTTACCAATGCCGATAAGATCGGTGCTTAAAGTGACTGCCAATTTGTTAGGATCAATTGCTTTATGGCTTTTATAATTAATTATTCATGAGATTAGACAGAAGACGATAAAAGGGCACCCTATCTTGGAACATACATCACACTTGTGCCTTTGGATCTTACGGGAGGACGAAAGTTCGCTCTATTTCTTAACAAACGATGGAAGTAACTAATCCATTGATACAAGTAAGACTAATCTGATATAGTTAAATCTGATCAAGACATCACAATTGCAACAAACATTACAACAATTTATTGATCGAAGCGATTTGTCATTAACATAAACATCGAATAATTATCGCAACGAGTTTAACTCTTGAACCAGAAAGCTTAAGACAAAATAGCTAAACCTGTTCTGAGATCTCTCTAAATAGTCATGAAATTTAAAGAAAACCATAAGCCACCGAGGCAAGCAAAGCAACAGGAATGGAAGAAGACGACAAGAAGTATTTAAAACTCCGTATGCTTCAATAACTAATAACTGATGCCGTCAACGTCTCCCAACCAAGAGTAATGAAAACTTGGGTAATAAAGATGGGTAATGAAAACTTGTGTAACAAAGATGGTGTCCAAATCTTCTTCAGTAGAAGGAAAATAGAAAGAAGGTAAGGCATAAGTGAAAAGACATCATGAAAAAAAGTGATCCAATAACAGATGACAATTCCGATTCTCAATGGTCGTCAGACACGTCAGTTCTCATCCAAATTAACACGACACGAACACTAACTTTAGAACAATATCGAACAGTGCATTAACTTTGGAACACTATCAAACAGTGCATTAACTTTAAAACACTATCAAACAATTTATTAATTTTAGAACACTATTGAACAGTGGATGATATATTGAGGAGCAGCTGCAGCAAAAACAAAGCTGTCAACCTCACAATGGAGGCACTTCTAAAAACCATTTTCTAATCCTGCTCATGTTGCTGGTTACGGAAGAGCTCATAATTTGTATCTTACTGTAAAACCAAACCTTAAAAGAGAGAAAACGTATTGCTAAAAATGAAATCGTCTTTTCTGCCAAATATGTGTGGTGTTTTGTGTCAATGGAGCAGCTATTGCAAGTTTGAGTTTCCAACAAGGAGGCAGTGAGGAATATTTCACGCAGCAGTTATATTAGTCTCTTTTTCCCAGTCCGTACTTGAAATATACTACTGACAGTAACAACAACGGCAGTCTGGGGCCATCACCACTCACCACAACGGCAACTCTTCCACTTAAAACAGCAAAAACAGGAATCCCTTTTGGATTATGTAGAAAATTATACTCCTTTGCCATCGGGAGAAATATCAGAAATCACAGCCATTTCACTATGAATAACATTTCTTATTTAATCTTGCTGAGCTGCAGTTCTTGGGATGTGATTCTCACTAACACCTTATGTTGTTTCCCATCCAAATTACATCAAGTTGTACATTTGAATCATAAAGATCATTGGGAAGATACTTACGTAAATATCATGGATACCACGAATGACGTCAATATCAACGAAGGCCAAACCACTTTCATCAGTGACAAAAGTGATCCGGTTATTTTAATTTAAAAAGAACAAACAACTAGTACAACATTTTCTCCGTTGACTGCCTATAGCATGAGAATTACGATGAGAATTTCTGTGCATAATAAATTTAATGCTAAGCATGCTACCCTTAAGGATCAGCTAGACAATTCCCTGGAGAAAGCTCTAGAAAGTGTACTGATCGAGGTTCATAAAATTTTTCATTGTCTTAAAGGCAGATTAATGTTAATTACATTTTGTTCCGATTTGTTTTCTATTATGGGTGGATACACAGATCGCTGTCCTATGAGAGACGTTTACGTCAACAAATGTAACTAAAGTATCTATATAACAAGAACTCACTCAACAACAAAGCCAAGGTTGAGGAGATTTTCTGAAGTCTGATAGTGACTGGATGATTACATGCGATAAAAGATGTTGATTTAAGCAAGGAAGAAAATTTCTTCAACGTGCCATCATCGACAAAACAGATTCTTAAGAATCCTTTATAAGAGCAAGAGAACATGTGTTGCTTCAAGCTGGAAATGACATTCAAGACATCTCTATAAATTCACACATTTGGAAGAGACATTAATTTTTCATCTATGCAACAGCTAAAACAATCGAAGTACACACACACACACACACACACACACACACACACACACACACACATACTTTTAATTAGAACAGTTATACATTGGACTCCAGGATTTGCAAAAAACATTACTTCAAAACAAACTACATGAATGACCTGTTAAGTAACTAGCACACACTACATCAATGACTTATTCTATATTATAGGCAAATTGAGTACCAAATACAGTCTATAAATCGGAGCAAGCGTAATTACTGTTATTCATTTTGTAACCAAGACGAATGACAATTAATTTACAGAGAGAGAGAGAGAGAGAGAGAGAGAGAGAGAGAGAGAGAGAGAGAGAGAGAGAGAGAGAGAGAGAGAGAGAGAGAGAGAGAGAGAGAGAGAGAGAGAGAGATTGCTGTTATTTTTATTTTATCATAAAATCGTCGTTTCGTCTTATTTTAGAAATAATACCTCATAGATATAAGTTCCAAGAGTTATAAGTCAAAGACTGAATGTCTGACAAGAGTAGAGGAAAGAGTGAAAATTAAATGGAATGGCTGTTTTAATTAATTTTAAGATAAATGCTGTCTGAACTTGTGTTTTATACATAAATAAAATATAGAGAAATGAAAATGGGACAAAAAGTTATGATCAGAACGAACATTTTGTTCAAAGACTTTCCATACCCTACAGTTGTTATTCCAAAATTTAATTTTTATAGGCAGTCACGTAAGACTTTATCGTTATCTACAACCCTAAATATAAAAAAAAATAAATAGAAAACGCACGCGATAGTGAAACTTTCATGCTCAGGTCTCATTAACATTCCAGCAGAAGCGGTCCCCGACCTTTATCCGAGATAAGGTACTTGCCAAAATCAATTTGATAAGAATGTTAAAATGCTAGCTTTTCATTACAATGATTTAATCAGCAATTAATGACTTGAAAGCAGTCTCCCGTCTCTGGGCAAGAGGTTATCTATAACTTACTATAGGGTCAACTGGATTAAGTTAACGGAAAACAAAACGGTCACTTCACAAAAAAAACTACGCGTGACATGTTATGGTTCATTGTTACATAGAATTTATTACTAGCTGATGTGCGCATGATTTGGATTTTTAACGTAGCTTTAACAATTTTCAGTCATATCGCTACGATGTTTGCAGTGTGACAGTTTATAGTGATATCTAGCACTGGAACATCATGCCGCAGTCATATTATCATGACACTTTAGTCCTAAGATTCTTAATGCTGAGCGCCTAGCGAGGCAAGCTGCTAGTACCATTTTTGTCTTTGGTATAATTTAGCTGGTGTTGAAACCCGCGACCACCTGCATAAGAGGCAGACCCTCTAACCACTAGGCCACAGAAGCGGTCTACTTGTCGATTATAGATAAAACAGAGTAGTACACAGAATGTTCAAGGAAATGGATGTGCAAACACAGCAAGCATATTTTTCTCAAAATAAAAAAAATAAAAAGATAAAAAATAAACCTCTTTAAATGAGACAATAATTTAATCCGGAAATGAGGTCAGTACGGTGTTATATTAACCCCGGGGTATTTTTAGATGAAAACTGTCCTTATCATAAGTGAAAACAATTTAATTTAGTGTTACTGGCCATTTATGTTCTTAAATAATGTTCAAAACATTTTGAAAGATCCTACCTTTAACATTTTAACATCTACGCACAAACTTGTGAAGTAAATTAACTGGAGGATTTATGATAGTTGCGATAAACACACCGGGGAGAAAAAGTCGTTCAACTCATCGTGTCCTTCAGATTTAGTACAATGGAATATTAACGCGCATCATTAAGCATAACATGTTAAAATGGTTTTTACATGAGACTTTAGCAAAAAAATTTCAAACGACCTGACCTTTGCGTTTTCTCTGAGCCAACAGCCTTTTGACAATGTACTATCTGCTTTATGTTTGTTTTTCTTTAGCTTCTGACACTTCTTTGGACCGCAGTGGGCTAGTTTTGATCACATTTTATTTGATTCTACGAACTAGATTAGTACATAATACTATATTCCTAACCTCCTTACGCTGTGGATCAGTTGTCAATATTTGAACGTGTTTAATACTTAAAAAGACATGAAGTGATATAAGAACATTTAGATTGTCCAGTACACCTATCCTCCTTTTTGCATCATTTTATTTCGTATCCTGTTTTAATCGGTCGTCAGTTTCTTGAACTTGATACTAACACAGTAGCTTTTAAGGCTAAAATAAAATTGAAGTTAACACATACATATGCAGACATTCAAGTACACGCAGATACATTAATACACAAAAAGTCATACTGGCACACACAACTATCTTTTTCTATATCCAGGATTTTCGCTAGAAAAATCGAAAGAATTTTATAAGACTTGGACGACTCCCTTACTATTGCACAATATCAAAATTCATTGACATAGTTTTTACGTTCGTTAACAAACATCGATTATAAAGCAATAAACCAGCAAACTGTTTACCGTGAAGATATTTTACTTCATCAGTTAAAATAGACAAGAAAAAATTTGTGCTACCTACTCCAGTGGAACAAGACTGAAGTAAGGCTATTCTGAAACTCAGGGTCTCCACTGCTCCCCGGGAATAGACGAAAATCTCCTTCGAGATAATCACTGAGGTAGTTGACTTGGTTATCGTTATCTAGAATGTTATCGCCTTCGGTGTTATTGCCCGGTTCGAGTAAATATTATGTAAAATGTGGAATTTATGTGGAATAGACAGAGATCTCAGCAGATATATAAAGCATACTGATAAGAGCCCCCCCCCTCATGTAAAGACAGAAATTTTATCAAAATTCATAAACAATTTTTATAATACATTACATTAGGAAGATACACGTCTTTTTGAAATAAATCATTTAACGAACTTTCAAACACAAATAATCTTAGCTAAATAGCCGATCTGCTTAAGTGGTATAATTAATTCATCATAGAATCGAGTGAAATATCGAAGTCAATGCCTTGTTCAACTTCATAACCTGATTAGTCTGGTTCGTTCCAAATTCACTGCGGCTGTTCACGTGGATTCTCGTAACTCATATCAACCAGAGTTAGGCATGAAATATTTAGACACATATTTTCCTATAACAATCAAGAGAACACATTCAAATGATTCGTCAAACTTATATAGAGTACCATTGTACGGGCTCATACAGATAAACACACACACAGTTGTATTCATAGCAATAAAATTGATCTACGAATCTAAACAAATTAATTCATCCAAATATAAGCAATTAAATGAAGCAAATGGTTATATTGATATCAACTAATTACATTTGACAAACGCAAATACCTGGTGTTTTCAAACTTTACCCCAAAAATGTTCCCCGATGACTTTCCACACAACCGATCCATTGGATAATTATTTACGAGTGAATTTATTCTAAATTCGGCCCGGGGTCTATTAGATTTGTTTTCTCTTGCAGAATGACTATTTTGGGACATATTAAACCCCAGAGTTTAAAGCTACGTTAAACCCCAGAGTTTTCGTGTGGAAATCACGCCCCTTACATGTCGTAACTAATCCGATTTAAATATCTCTCCCGTCTTAACCTAGGCGCCAAAAAATACTCCTCCTTATAAACCCAGATCACCAAATGCTGATTCTGGAAATATTCAAATCTGACAATTCCGATACAAGAAAATGTTAACCCTATCCTTTCCGATGACGCAGACATTCCAAGTCCGTGCATTATGGTTATTTAAACACGCCCCGGTCCCCATAAATCTAATTAATTGTTAATCGGTCCAACTTAATGTGCTCTTCATAAATCGACAGAAATTTACACCCTTACAAACAGTACATTTTTTTATAATACGTTTCGAAAAACTTCAATAAATATTTCAAAGCATGGAATAAAGTTAAGAATTTCCAGGATATTAAGATAAGACCTTTATGTCCTTTTCACTATCGAGTGTTTAAACAATAGCCGATATTCTTCAGCGATAATACGACGTTTCAAATTAAAAGCTATGGTAGCCATATTGAATGTTAGAAGGACACCATCTTCATTTAGGACAAAGTCGACATCGTTATAAGTTTTTGGTGAAAACCTGATGTCATAATGGACATAAATTAAGAGGGACTACAAGACTTTTAAGACAGTCATCGTATCGGATACGACCGGCCATATCGGATACGACCGGCACCATTTTCGTTTAGGAACAACTAGCAAGTCATTTGGTTAATATCTTCATAAGGTTCTTGGAATTGAAATAACAATATTTTCGATATATGACTTTACATTCTGGAAAAGAAGCAATACCAAGATTTTCAAGATAGCTGGGTGGCCTTATATGACATCATCGGCACTATTCAAGTCCACCTTGACATCATAAAAAGACTGATCATCCATTTACGAGGAGTAGCGATAACAAAAATATCAAGATGGCTACCGTGGAGACCATATTTTGCGTTTCACCTGCACCATTTTCGTAAAGGACCAATTACACAACACAAGAAGCCTTTTTGTGAAAACCTCATGCTGACATGACCATCCGTGTAAGAGAAGTAGCAATAATAAGGCGATAGTAATAACAAGCTTTTCAAGGTTTCATATTTGACGTCAGATTGGCAACATTTTGTTTTGGAATATCCTAGACATGATAAAAAGTCTTTTAGTGGAAATTCCGAGTTGATACGACTATCATCAGTAGAAGAATCGATAGCAAGATTTTTAAGAACGCTATTGTGATGACCATATTGGATTCCTTAGCAGTACAATTTTTATTTAGGACAAATCAAACCATGAAAGTAATGTGTTTATAGTTACATGGCAATCCGCAGCAGTTTGAGAGGAATGGTGATAATAAAGTTATCGGACAGAAAACTGGCGCTAGAATGACGACGACAACATGCCATCTCATAATCTCTTCTATTCTATGACTAGTAGAGCTAAAGAATGTTTAGAAATATTCTACACGTTTGGAGAATATACGAGTAGAAATATTCCACTCGTCTGAAGAATGTACGAGTAGCAATGTTACTCATATCTGGAGATTGTTTACTGAATTGTACCAAAATAAATTACTATATATTAATGTTTTGTTACCTCTTTACCAAACTTAACTAAGGATTCGTTCTATTGGTTACATGGTACTAATTCGATTCCTATCATAAACCTATTTCATATGAAATGAATAAACCGCTACAGTTATTATTGAGGTTCGCTTATAACTGCGTCACATTTCCGTAGAAAGAGACCGTAGAAAACTAGCATCATCCATCATAGTTAAAGTACATGAGCATTTTCGAATTCAATCCAGCAGAAAAGAATCATCACTATGGCATAACGCTCTACAGATTGTATGTGCTTCTAAGAGACGAACAATATAAGGTGACGTTGTTTGCATTGGCAGCATGAACAACTCTGAGAATGTTTGTTTGCCCCATTCCTACTTTTTTTTTGTCTCACACAAAGAGCCGAAATGTTCCAATTGAATCAAAATACTGCCCTTTTCCAATAATACACTTTGTATGCACCTTCCATGCATTTCACTTCTCCATTGACTATTCAGGGGAAACCCATTATACTAGATACCAGCAATTTAGGACGGATATCAGAAATTATTGGGGTTCCTAAGCCAAACTTTTACATATAACGTATGTTCTCCACCTCATTTCATTTAATCATTTAATGAGAGGTTCTGTTTTGCACAGTTTTCCTTATTTTAATTCTCATTGATTGCAATCATATATTCTGTTTTCTCACCGATTTCTAGACTGGGTCTATTTTTGTGGTAAAATTAGTATCATGATCATATGGTATTGATTTCTAGACTGGGTCTACTTTTTTGGTACAATCAGTATCATGATCATATGGTATTGATTTCTAGACTGGGTCTACTTTTTTGGTACAATCAGTATCATGATCATATGGTATTGATTTCTAGACTGGGTCTACGTTTTTGGTACAAATAGTATCATGAGTCATATGGTATTGATTTCTAGACTGGGTCTACTTTTTTGGTACAATCAGTATCATGATCATATGGTATTGATTTCTAGACTGGGTCTACGTTTGTGGTACAAATAGTATCATGAGTCATATGGTATTGATTTCTAGACTGGGTCTACTTTTTTGGTACAATCAGTATCATGAGTCATATGGTATTGATTTATAGACTGGGTCTATTTGTTTGGTAAAATTAGTATCATGATCATATGGTATTGATTTCTAGACTGGGTCTACTTTTTTGGTACAATCAGTATCATGAGTCATATGGTATTGATTTCTAGATTGGGTCTACTTTTTTGGTACAATTAGTATCATGATCATATGCTATTGATTTCTAGACTGGGTCTACTTTTTTGGTACAATCAGTATCATGATTCATATGATATTGATTTC